TTTAATTTTTAATAATTTATTTAATTATTTATTTATTTTTAATTTTTAATAATTTCATTAATTATTTATTTATTTTTAATTTTTAATCATTTATTTACTTAATTTATTTTCATTTTCAATTATACAATTTAATTTCAATTATTATATAATTATATTATTAAAAAATTATTCAATTATTATTTTAATTTTTAATTATTCATTTAATTATTTCATTCATTTTTTATTTCTAATTATCTATTTAATACTGAAATAAATGTTCCTCTATGTTTTATTTTTTTAATTTCATTGGTGTTAGTGGACATTAAAGATTTGTATCACAATTAATTTATTAATGTGCTTCTCCTAAATCGTTTGCGTTCGTACGAGTTCACACGCGATACTTTTTCTCGCTACCGGTCGATATAAGTTCGAACGCGTTCGCGATATCGCGAGTGTGTGTTGCAAGTGATCCAAGAAAAAAAGAAGGAATTACAACCAACGATGACATCGCTACATTGACGACATGGCAAGGGAAGGATACAATGACACGGATGTCAGGACGAAGGCGACAGTCAACCCAGAGCTGCTTTCCTATGAAGAAGAGGTCAACGATCGGTAAGTCGCATGTTTACGATCCCTCTAGTTGCCCATCATGTCGTAGGACGAATGGTCCGAAACGGCACGAGTGACTGGTTGTATTTTATTATTTTCGAAGCGAGCATAGTGACCACGAGTGCTAATGTACTAATGTATTGTACAATAGCACTCGTGCAGTATATATTTCTGTGATATATTTGTTGAATACAAGTACAACATAGCATTCTCCCTGAAGTAGTTTCCAAAATCAAAACAATAATTCGAATGTCTTGGAATTATTAAAAGTAGAATCACCCCGGCACCTCAGTTGTAATAAACTAATCTCGAATTTTGGTTAGGATTTTCAGCAAGATACCGGTATGTTTTTCATATTATTTTTGTCACTATGCTCGCTATTATATCGTATTACTGTGCATACTGTGCATACTGTGCACATTGTATTCGAGGGTTGGTCGAAATCCCTTGAAATTCGATATATCGCGATCGAGAATTAAAATTTTATCCCGTTTTAATGTAAAATTAAAAACACCAGACTGACCTAAACACCTCGCGTGCTTTTCCCCACTATTCTTGCGATTTTTAAAACGCCATATGTGGCAGCGCGTGTCCCGTTTTTAAAAACTTATTTCCTATTTCATTGCACAATAATCTTATGCAGCTACCAATTCTTCCTCTCTGTTTTTATTTACCTCTTATTATTAATTTCTCTTCCTTTTCTGCAGGTGTTAGGCATCCTACATTTTAAAATTTACCGTATAATTTATTTTATAATTTATTTTGTATTTGATTTTTCAGCATATTTAATATTATATTCTGTATTGCTTTTTGTTATGCATCTTGAAATTCATTTTGTAATTTATTTTGCGATTTAATTTGTAGGATATTTAGTACTATGTTATGTACTACCTATTTTATTTTATTTTTATAGTGTATTTAGGTGCGGGTCTCAATTGCGTAGCCACCTCCACGTGGTGAGACCTGGTAATTGGCATCGTTTGTCAAAGATGAATTTTTCTAGGCTTGCTTTCATGAATTCTATTAATGTATCTATAGATTTTACAATATAATTCGTTTTTGACAAACGATGCCAAGCTAAGAGCTACGCAGTACTCGCAATCCAGTCTAGCCTCTGAAAGGCTACCTTGTAATACCTTGGAGGCTAAACTGAAATTGCGAGTACCACTTTATTTACTCCTCCGCATGGGGCAACGTGGGACATTACTAGACATCGTTGGATATTACTGGATATCGTTGGACATTGTTGGAAATTGCTGGAAATTTTTAGACATTGTGAGTCATGTCTTGATGTCGGAGACCAATGGTTCAGGTTTCGGTAGGGTTCCTCCGTTAGTCCTCATCGGATGGTCACTTCGTACTCCTATAAATAATAAATAATAAAAAATGTTTTTTTTCATGCAAATGATATTTCAGAAATGAGAAAGATAATATTTTCCATTAAGTACCACTATTTTAATTAAGTATTCGATAGTAATTTATGTAAAAATAATATACGTAATTTTGAATATGGCAATTAGAACATTCTTGTGCCATCTACAACATACAAAATTTTAGTCTTATTCTGCGCTGAATCGGTAATGTTGCGAACAACGTGAATATGTTAACAGAGTTTTGATGTTCTCAAAAAGCCTATGTCAACAGCAGACGTCAAATTTGTTGACAAAAGATAATTTCTGACGTGAGTCCTGTGCGTGCTTGCGTGTATGCGTGCTTGCGTGTATGCGTGCATGCGTGCGTGCGTGAAAAAGAGAGAGATAGAGCGATTAGCCACGAGAGGGCACAAAAGCAGCCGGCAATAGAAGTGAGTGAGCATCGCGTGTGAGCAGAAGTGAAGAATCTAAAAGACGTATAACCCGTTGCAATCCTGTATAATAGTGCTCTGTCCTGCTGATTTGGTTGCTTCTTTCGGTTTTACGAGTGTAGTAGACGTTTCCTTATTATTTTCTGTGTAAATTCCTCTTTGTTTCTCGATATAAATTACGACACCAATCGCGGTACAAAGTATGAAGATAATTTGTATTTAGTACGGCTTATTATATAGTGCATACAACTTTGAAGTGCATTACATTATTTACGTGTTTACCACCGCATAAAGTCAAAGAAAATACGTACGTTATATTCTATGATTTTTCATTTAAAGACATTTCTTCATTTCGGTAAATCGATAATTACATTTTTCGATATAACATTTAAATGTGATTAATTATTAGTTATTAATAATCCTGCTTGTTTCATATTTTTCGCTTGTCTAACATTTCAATTAAAAATATTAAGGTGTCAGAAATATTGCTGAGTCAAGCATTCTTGCTGACAGTTGAAACTAATGAGTGTCAGTTAAAAATTCGTTATTGTGGACAGCACAGGTTTAAACGTGATCTAAAAGTGTAGATCTGAAATATTAATACTAATTTTTATTTAATTTCAGTCGTATAAAACGAATTTACAGCAATGTTTGAATGGGCATATGATGGTGTTAATGTCTCGATACCACGTAATGCAGGACCAGAATGTGCAAACTACTTAAGCCCAAAACGAAGAATCATTGAAACATCATTGATATCGGTGTTCATAGTAGGTTGCCTAGTTTGGGGGTACAAACATATTAAATTGCCAACCAAAGTATCATACGTAAATCATGACCGTGTTGGCAGAAGAGTTTTATTAATTATTATGTCATTAGTATTAGGAATAGAAATTGGTTTTAAATTTACCAGCAGAACAGTAGTATATATATTGAATCCTTGCCATATAACAACAGCGGTACAGGTAAAATAGATAAAAGTGTATTGTTTGTTCAAGCAATATCTATACTTTCTTTGTGATTATTTATAAGCATTGCATTTTTTATAATACAGCTATATTTGCTGGCTGCAGATCCTAGTCCTACAGTCACAGCTATATTTAGGATACATTTAAATTTTTTGAATGGACCTGTTCTAGCATATTTATTTCCTGAGACAGAATCTCGCAGAGTAAGAAGTCATCATGTTTTAGTACGAAACCTATAATTTATTAGTTTAAACTAATCTTAATATAATTATTTCAGATATTTGCAGACAAAGCAATGTACTACATTCAGCATGGTTTAATGGTAGTGATACCATATTATTTACTGAGGATTGGAGGTAGTTGCAATTCATTTTTGCAATTATTTTTGTTTTTGCCTTATTAAAGAGGATACTTTGAAAACAGTGATAAATTTCATTATGTAAATGTGTTTATATTTTTATATTTAGGTGTTTATAATGTTGAGCCTTTGTCAGATATGAGTTGGTGTATTTTAAGCTATGGAATAAATTTAGCTTATCATTTCTGGGTTATCCAAGCTGTTGCTTTGGTGTGTGTTTCTTCATATTTCTATTTCCATTTGTTAAATATTTAATTGTATTATAATATTTCACATTTCACGTTTTAGCCTATACAAGTAAACCTTAGTCATATGTTATGTGCAGCTGTTCTAGACCCTTTTGAAGGTCAATATTATAGAATATGGGCATTTATTCATCAAGCATTATTATGTCCATTATTATGCAAATTATTTTGCTATATATCAGACTTCTTCTTAACAAAGTTTCCACTAACTAAAACAAAACCGACATTGGAGTGTGTACTTCCAAAAAAAAATAAATTTGAAGAGAATGAGAAGTTATACGAGGACACAAATACTTCAGGGAATGGACATACTCACGTAAATTAGGTCAGTATTTCGTAATCCAGGTGAACGTAATGTCGGCTGCAGTTCAGTGAGTATTTGATGATACACAGAAATAGATAAGTTTATATGTCAATAATCAAATGAAGACAAGCCAATTTGTGCATTCATAATTGTACAGTTGTCACCTGTGAAAATTACAGGTCCTTGTTCCAAATAAACACATTTGTAGTTATTTTTTACACTGTATGCGTGAATACAGTGAATAGGAACAGTGCAGGGCAAACTATAGTAGTAATCAGGAATTTATAAATTTTAATTTATTACATAACGAATATTTTACGAGTTTTAAGTAGTGTGCTACTATTAACTCTGTAGCAGAGTTTTCCTGCTTAGATTTTTTCCAAATACGAAAATCCTATGATTTTGCATTTGCGATACGTCTGTGATTAGAAATATTATACGAGAATTAGTTTCTTATTTAAAACAACAGCACTCTTTAAAAATATGGTACTCCATAGAATATAACGTTATTTTACACGCTATATTTTTTATTCTAAGGAATTTTATTTTTATTTGGATTCGAACTAAGTTACTCATACGTAAATATTTCCAAATATATAATTTCCGTAGATAATTGTTTAATAACTGTAGCAAGCATAGTAAACGGTACTATGACTAGTGGCACATCTGGCCATGAAAGTAGTGTACAATTCCTGTTATTTATTCTTATTTATTCTATATTATTCTTATTATAGTACAATGTTTCTTCTAGTAGTTGTACTTAATTGTAATAAAACACATTTATTGTGATATACGTATATATATGTTTAACAATTAATTGCATCATGTGATACAGAACGAAATACGAATATAATAATACATAATAAAGTCATTGCTTATCTACTTTAAACAATATAGTAAATTGTGTTAATAGTGTGCACATAATAAAATACATTCCACATAGTCAATCTGTAAAAATGGTATTGTAATGATTTTATACTAACTGCCAAAAATTTTATTTATTGCAATACATTTTCTTACGCTAAAATTTGTTTAAAAGTTTTAAAATATTTAAAAAATATCTGTACAAGAATTTTTATGAAACAATATAAAGTTTAATATAAATAATTATCAACAATTTGTCTTATAATTCCTATATATATAAATTTCAATTTTATTACCCTAATAACATTTTTTATTGAAATCATACCATTATATCTTTCATTTTTGTAAAATTATCAAAACCTAAAACCATCAGTTACAAAATGAACATTTGCTCATAATACTGAATGAATAACTTCACATAACAAAGTCTAGTAAGCATTCATATTGCTATGGCCTACTAGTAAAAAACAATTTTTGTTTGTTATAAACATAATTTATTACATTTTTATGTTTGGCAAAATTTACATTAACTTATGTCAAATGGTTTCGTTATTGTTTTCTAAAATAAAAGAAAATGTTATTGTAAGAAAAAATGATTATATTAACATTAATAGTCAAATATAAAGAATAATTTTAACTTTTTAACATAGTTAATTGAAAGCTTCAATTGTGCGCACTTTTACACAACGAATTTTTATATCTTTTCGTGTGGAAAATAAATAAAATCATACAGCGGAAGTATAAAATTATTAAATATCGAAATAAGTATAAATAACTAATAAAAATTTCAAATTTGGTCATATCGTGATGAATAAAATTCCACATGACAGGGTGTAAACAGTACCGTAATAATTATTGCTACCTATGCAAAACGGAATATTCTTTATATTTAACTTATAATTACAAAGGCCTCGGAAAAATTTAATTCGAACTTTCAATATACTATGGCAAACGAGACAAATTTTTATAACAATTGTTTTATAATACGAACTAAATATTAACCGTCATTTAAATAATGCTGTGCAACAAAAAGTATTTAACTCGCATTTATTATAAGTTAAATGATAAATGCAAATAGCTGTATCACAAATATGCTATCAAATAAATATGGAGAATGAATATTAAAACACATTATGTATTGTGTACAGAAGGGATCATATATGTCTGTCTATGTTTCTCAAAAATTTGTAGCTTTGTTATTTTACGAAGTACGTTCAAATATGTACGAATAACGAGAATTACGTATTTATAAGATTCAATGCTTAATGGATCAAAGAAAGTTAAATTCGGTCCATTTAACAATTTCCATTTAAGTATAACTCAATCCATAGCAACATTGAATCTTTAATATACGATATGTCTAAATTAGTACTTATTTAGAAGTTGCACAGCTGAAAAATTAAATGTATAACAAATTGCCATTATATTTTTGTAAGCTATAAAAGCGTTGTTATCATATATGACAGTCATATGCATATTTGGTACTAAACGTAGTATTTATCCGTGGAGAATAAAGAGTGAGAGAAACATTACGTTTGATCCCGAATTGTGTATTAAATCATGTTTGGATTGTATGGGATATGAAGTGGGAAAGGTTTGTGCGAAATGTTCATTGTGTAAATGTTTCAAATAAAAGAAATATCATGACAGCAAATATCTCTTGTTTCCTCTTTTTCTTCAAAGAGAAATGTTAAGATTTATCTGCAATTATGGTTCGTGGTATGTAACAATACAAACATTAAAGCATTAAAATAAAATAATTTATTTACAGAGCGATGTACATTTTTTTTCCTTCTCTTTAGAATTCTTATACATTTCTGGTATATGTGCAAGTATACCGGTGTTCCAAGCTTAATCGTATCACGACTAATTCACACTTCCTCTAAACATTTGTACAGAATGGTTTTACGAATGGTTACATGAGGCACGTATAACTTGTGTATATACAAAATGATGAATTTTATCTTTTATCGATGGTTCGTATCATTTTAACGGGTTGACGTTGATTAAAATTGGAATACTTAATGCTATCGTGTATTATCGTAGCCACATCAAGATTATATCGAAAAAATTGTAATAAGGCACCACTATACTCCACGTGTAAAATTGGTAATTCGTATTCGAAGTAACTTATATTAAGTTTTGCATTCGAAACGAGAATTCATGGAGACCTGACTGGATCGATAATCGATCGACAGAGGCATTAATTCTAGATCAGTCCTGTTTAATGTTTGCTATTTATGCGAATGAAACCATTGGACACATCTAAAACAAGGTTTATTTTACCCTCGTACATTCATAATCGCTATCTATGTACACGATTCTGTACAAAAGTTTAGGAAAACCTAATTTCACTGAAGCTACATGTAACAAATGCAATGATGATAATAAATATGTACATTAAAAATCATTTTTACTCGCAATCCTATTTACGAAAGATCTTTGAAGTTGTGACATCGATTGATAATTAATTACTACTTATAAATATGTATATTTCACACGGCACGATGTACAACTTTCACGCATAATCGATACATGAATTTTTTTACACTAAATAATCAAAAGGTTAATTACTTTTAATTCAGTGAAGCCTGTTGTGCACCAATCACAGTATAAGTCATTAAACTCCATACTGCGATTATAATTATATAACTTTTCAATTAAATGAAATTTTATACAGAAGCTATATTACACACAGGGTCATAACATAAGAATGAAATTCTCATAGAGAAGAATAAATCAAGAATACTAACTACTATACAATTCAATCGTATTTTTATCACGTGATATTTTACAATTTACGATATTGTTTTGTACATTTAAAAATAAAGCAGCTATGAACACTTTAAGCGGAACACCCTGTATACTGTAATTACGAAGTTATCCTCGATCTGTCTGACAATTTCACTGTTTAAATATTATTAATATTAACAAAATCGATTTCTACCATTAGAAAATAAATATTAATTTAAAATACATATAAATATCTATAATAAGTTAGAAAAATGAAGCGTAATTAATTCCTTTCATAAGAAAGGACCTTAGCATCTAATATGTTAAATATAAGATACTTCGTAAATCATATACAATGTTTTGACATCCGTAACAAAATTATTTATTAATAATAAAAAAAAAAAAAGTATATTAATGAAATACAAAAAAATCACAGTTGTTCTTTTCACAATTCTCACAAAATTATACAAGTAACACAAAGTTAATAAAAATTATAAATTTAATATTAAATGGTAGATTCTTTAATAGTGTTCAAAATGAGTTAAATACTATGATATTCCACTATTTTGTAAACAAATAAGAATTTACCATTTCTTTATCATATAAATAGAATTATACATATAAAGCATGTATTTATACAAAGACTCGAATATCAATACTGCATGGAAGAGTAAAGAATAATACTTATTTCTCTCTATATAAATATTAATTAAAAAATTATAATCTACATAATTTAAAGATAATAAAACAATTTGATTCTTGTTCATGTGAAGAACATACCTAGTTATTTCACCAGAGGAACTTCTTTTTCACAAATTGTCTAACTTAAGAATATTTTACATGATTATTTCAAAATCAGTAATATGTCACTCAACCCTGTATAAAGGTACTTTCAATCATGAAATTTAAAGGAGAGATTCCATTATCAAATGTAGAGACTGTCCCAGCACTAGCTATTAACAGATGTATGATTTCAAATGAATCTTTCTGATGTTGATTGTTGAGTAACTTATAACTGTTTGTATAAAGCACTACCATGAATTTTTCGATTTAAATGGAATGCTAATACTATTTACAATGTTATTGACTGAATGAACAGACACACATCTCTTTTAAAGAGTATTATCCAGTTCATTCATGTGCTTTTTCTACTTCATAGTAGATGTTTTGGTATGATGCAGAAAATTTTGCATCCAGCCTTGATCAAGCCTCTGGAGATATCTTTCTACTAGAAGTAAAGTGTTAGCCATCTAGAGGTGGTCCTAAGTATACCATAGATACCTCTGTATTTCCATATACAGCAGATACAGATGGGTATAATATTTTGCCTGGTAACCCTATGCATTTGATTCGATATTAATATCAAAGAGATATTTTTCATGAAAGAGATATTGGTAGTTGGGAAACATTGAGATACAATACCTTTAAATGCCACTCCCAAAAATTCATAATTTCTTTCAAAAGATAATGTGTTATCATCACAATCTAATATTACCCTAATTCTTTCCCCAACCTGTTAATTAAAATTTTGTACCTTAGGGAAAGTTCTTTTACCTCTATAAATAATTGCCACAAAAAAATGTAACATACCTGGTACTTTGGTGCATTGTTAAGCAAAGGATAATTCCCGTGTACAATTCCATTGTGTAGTAGATGATTATCTACTAGATTCCATCCCCATGAATGTACATCAGAACCAACTAATGCTACATATCCATGGCACAATAAAGGTGCTTCTTCTGTAGCAATGCCTATAACTGCTACCGTACCCAATGGGCCTTCCCAAATAACTTCCCAAGCATGACGTCCATGCAGAAATCCAATTTTACCTCTACATGCATCTGTGCTCTGAGCAACTGGATTTCTATAACTCAAAAAATAACGATTTAAGCACTCACTTAACATTTATTATATAAAAGCACACAATTCTAAAAGTTTGTATTTTGCGAACGTACATTTAAGTTATTAACTTTTATGAAGTGTCAGTTTCAGCTTTTTACATTAGTCATAGTTTTTAATAGTGAAATATTAAAAATAACTTCAAGTCATTAAGTAATAGAGTAACAGAGCAAGAGTAACACGATTGGGATTGAAGTGCAAACTACGAATTGACACGCGGTAATGACAGAATCCAAGGCTTCACCTGTGCATGGTAAATCCATTGGGCCTAATGTAAATGTTACGAGAGCAGTCATTGGGATTCCACGCATGATAAAATGCACGAAGCTTAGATTTGTAAGTAGGCACGGATGATAATAAATCAGAACTAAGAGCCTCTTGGGCCAACTTTCTTATGCAATGCATCCTCCAAGCATCATTATTTTCATCGTTTAGAAAATGATTCCACCGTTTACACACTAGCGAGCAGTTTCTCAATGTGTGCAAATCTAAATAAGAAAAAATCACTTCTAAAACATGATCGGATACTCGGAGTGCTATATCGTCCATTTTGCCGGTTCTGATTGAGTAAACGAGCAAAACACACGCGCAGAAACGCCGCGCGGCAAGTAGCTATATCGAACGTTAAGGACGGTTTCCATGAAACAAGCATACACACTATATATGTTAGAAAGGAATACGCAATAACTGCTTCAATTTAGAGTAAGCATTTCCATCTTTAGTTTTTAGTATTCCGTGTCTATAGCAGAAGCGTTTTCCTCAGTTCACGTGTATATTATTGTTTTATTTTGTTTTTGTTTTTGCGCACTGTTGTGCTTATTTAAAGAGGAATGGAGCAGAATAACTCCACCACTTTTTTTATAAGCACTCCTGGATTTTGTTCCGATTGTGGATCAATTTTGCCATTATTAAGCGATAGAGGAAATGTAAATTGTTATACTTGTAAAAGAAGTTGGGGACCCGAAGGTATGCTATGGTAAAGCTTTTAATATCTTTCCAAATTCATTTACTCTGCATGAAAAATTGGACTTATACAATTACGATTGCAACGAATTGTTTTCAAACAATGAATTTTTACGGTTAGCTTTTGGAGACATGAAAATGTCATACACTGTTCATTTTAATTCAAAAAATACTTATGCTTCATCAAAACAAAAGGACAAAGAGGAAAATGCAGATGGTCCAATTGTTGAAAGAAAATGCCCTCAATGTCAGAATGATAAAATGTCATATGCTACATTGCAATTGAGGTCAGCGGATGAAGGACAAACAGTATTTTATACATGTACTAAATGCAAGTACGTTCATTTAATTTCATTAAAAAATAAAAAAATATATGTTCAAATAAAAAGTGTATATTATAGCAAAGGTTGTTAACAAATGTTTAAATGTACTTCTTTTTTAGATTCAAGGAGACAGAGAATTCGTAACATAAATTTTTATTATACATTTAAATTTTTACATGCAACACCATTTAATTAATTGATTGGTAAATGATCAGCAAAATATGGATACTCTGTGTTAATAAAACATAGAGCTTTATTTATGATGTACTCAACAAATATCAGTGAATGGCTAATGATAATGGTAATAATGATAATAATAATAATAATAATAATAATAATTCTTTAATACCGCTGAATTATCGTTATATTTTCGATCTAATTACGCATGGGTGGAAATTTTGTATTAATGTATTTTTAATTGTATATATTCGATTAAATATTTTGTACAATATGTTGGAATAAAAGTTAACAATTAGTTTAAGAAGTTCCTATTAATTCATCTTTGAAACCATTACAGTGGTCCTTTCATTATAAAATTCCCGTATGTAAAGAATCTGTTAGCACGTCGCTCACACTATGAGATAGACTTAAAAGTTAACTATTAGTCACAATAATGTTTTATATTTTCTTTAATAGTAAAGAGAAATATGTAATCGTATATCGAGGAATTTTTTAATAATCAGTTCAGCAACTTAATTATATACACAATGGAAATTTTACACCATAATAGTATTAAGCAGGCCCGTTTACCCTAACATTGATAAAATCAACAAAAAAGAATTTATATTTACGCTTAAACAATGTACTTCTGCGATTACATTTACTTATGCATTCTACCGTTATGAAATTACATTTCAAACCTAAAGTAACATAGTTTTGATAACGCAAAACGTACATAAAATTTGTAACTTTTTAAATTGATATTATTAATAGACAACGTAGGAAGCGAAACAACAAAGATATTAATCCTTACATATAAACTATGTGCCACCACCAAAAGTTTCTAAATTAAAAGAGAAGATAAAATATTAAATATCGTCAACGATATCATTGCCTATACCTCATTTTTTTTTAACGTTCTTTCTTTCAGTCCGGATTTTTTTTTTTTTTTTTTTTTTTTTTTTTTTTTTTCTTTTCTATAAACGCTCCATAAAGAGTTCGCTTATTTATTTTCGCACCCGATTCTTACTTGCCTCGTATATAATGCTTGAAACGAAAGAGGAACATGTCATACAAATTCGTAATTAAACATACGAATTCTCATCGCTATAGTATTTAATAACATCTGTCCGTTAACAATATATTTCACAAAAAACATTCGTCGTATTCTCGAAACTATTGAGTCATCGGCGATTATGTGACGCACTGCATCCATTTCACTTCATTCGAACTTACTATCCTGCAGGATATTTCACAAGATGCAGCGTTACTTAATTACACGTTAATTTATTCATTCATAAGGGTTTCGAAATTTGTCTCGAGTTCGTTAGGCCTTCCTTAGAACGATCGATCGGGATAGTCTCTCCAAAAAAATAGATTAAAAAAATTCTTCAGACCAATTCTAGATTAACAATCAAGAGTTACACTCGACTCGAACGATTTGCAAATACAAATGTATTCCTCCGCTTTTAATCAACCATTTACTAACCTTCGATATCGAATATACGTAGAATTTCTTCATTACCGACCGCGCAACGAAAGTAATAAAGGAGGGGTCACTTAGACCGGAATACTCGTTTGAATCGAATGTATTTAATGATTTCCTTTTTGAATTATGTACACTATCGCTTCATATTACATATTGTACATCGAGTATGTACAAGTGGCAAGGTATTTACAAGTGGAATGTGAGGCAGGTGAAGGCAGTGGAATGTCAGGCAAAGGATCTAGATTGTCGTTCTTCCTTGACGCTGCGATCATGAGGCCTCGTAACACTCGTCCAAGAAGTTCTCCAAAGAGTGATAAAGATGAGCTCGCGACTGCGCGATCCCGTGGTCTTCGTCCGTGTAAGTCTGCAAAAACAAATTTAACTTTTAGTCCATTTTTACTGTAAGAGTACCACTGACTTTGTGCTCGCGATCGCTCTTGATCGTTATGGAGCCATCTTTAATTTTAACACGAGTCTCTTCGGTGCCCGAAGGGATAACCTAACCACACCACCAACATTACAACTGTTCCTTCCTTTTCGTTGCGCGTTCGGTTTTCTTTCAAATTTAAGGAAGATCTATTTATTTAACAAAGGGTGTACCAATCGCAACGCAGTGAATCCGAACGAAGTGTAATGGCCGATTAAACGAAAGCATTTTACGCAGAACTTGAACGAAACGGTGGAATTTATTCGCGTGGAATAAACTGTTCTTCGCACGCGCTTTGTAGATTTTAATCGCGAACGTTAAACACCGTGAGATGGCCACGGAGCACGTAGGCGAATGCTAAGCATAATAATTTCGTAAGCCGTTTGAAATAATGCGGAACGTGCTACGCGTTTTCCACTCGTTTCCTTTTTTAATTATGTCAGCCATGTTTCTTCGCGAACGATCAGAATTTTAGGTGAAATTAAAGAAAGGGAAAGATTTTATTTTTTCCATAAATCGATTACAGTCGATACTCCTATAACTCGGTGTTTTTTCATATGATTATTCCCTTATAATTATTTCCATAAAAAATGGCGGGAAATTTGAAGCAATTCTTCTATAACACGGGTCTCCTTATAAAAACGACTTGAAAAATTTAACTATGGCAATAGTAAACATTACTTCTGCTTTGAGCAGTGAAGGATTTTCAGATATAAACCACGAATATATAGAAGAACTACTTCTTTCAGGTGCGAATATTACTGTACCTGTTGCCGGAACAGGATGTCCTTCTGCTCGAGGACCTTGGCGAGCAGCAAGGACTGCTGATAGTGCACGTTATCGTCCAAAGTCCCGTGAATCAGGTAGTACATCTTCGTTTTAATGTTATCCACCTTGTTCAGCAGCTGACTTCGCTCGTAGCCGTGCACGTTGTCCGTGGGCAGGCCCATGAACCTCTCCGTGTATATCGAATCTGCACAATGTCCATCGATTATCCAACTTTTCCTATACCAGCCGCGTCTAATCTCGTCATTTTTCATTCCTATCTAATACCTTCTTTGCCTTCGATATCGAATAAATTTCAATTGCTCTATAATATCGCAAACTATAGGATTTACGTCGGGCTAGCGAAGAGTGTTTGGGGTAGGAGCGATAGAGTCAGCGCGAACGAGGATACACTTGGTCTAGGGTGTTCGAAGTGTTGAAGGAAGAATGTTGGGGATCGAGTTCTCGAGATTATCGACTGAAGCAAGGTGGACGAGGTTTGAGGTCCTTCGTGGACGTGTTCAAATGTTTTCTGGAAATAGATACATCGAGGGAAAG